AGCTTGGACTAACCTTGTTGCGCTTGTTGGTCTCGTGCCAGCCGCTGAAAATCCTCAAGGTTTAGGGTTTAGGCTTTCGCGATTTGTCCGCCTCTGGGTCGGCGGACTGAGCCGGAGGCTCTTAAGTTCCTGTATAAAAAACCATTCAAAACAATCCGAACCTAGCAAATCAAGGACATCCCTAATCCGTAAGAGGCTTGGAAGGGACCCCCCCGAATTCAGATGGTCCCAGCCCTCATTAACTTTCTCCTTGGCCCTTCTAAAACCTGTCTTCGGAGCAGATTTCGGAATGAGGAATTCTGGGGAACCTGTATTAGGTATGTATTAGGAGGGGGGGGCTTAATACTAGGGGGAAGAGAGTAATAACTATACCGGTCATGATTCTGGTAATGAGAACAATCATAATGAGTGTAAATACACAAGTATGACGATTATAGCTAGCCACCATACCTATGACAACAATCGGAATAACCCTAAACACTAGACCCTAACCCTAAACCCTAAACTCAAAAGGGGGGACCTTTAGGGATCCAAAAAGCCCGAAAGGGATCGTAAAGGGGGTTATAGGATTAGGGTTTGGGGTGGAGAACCCTAAAGCCCTAAACCCTAAACCCTAAGCCCTAAACACTAAGCCCTAAACCACATCTCCATCAGGTTCCTTGGAAAACTGGTGAAGAGGGATCTGGCCCAACCTTTAGACTTACTGGAGCTTAAAGGGGAGTGGAGGACTTTCTCATCCAGTACCGTGAAATGGGACCATGAAAACTCCCCACAAATATCCCTATAGCTAGCTTCCATTTCATTCTCTAGTTTTTCCACGTGATTCTTGCATATAGTAATCCCCCATAATAACCTTTGGTGAAACCCTAACCTAAATCCTGTACAGCTTTGAGTGTAGTCTGGAGGATAGTCTTGCAGTTGTATGCTTCAGGCTTCCTCAAGACTTCACAACCAACTGTAGACAACTAAGGAGTCTGTCTGCCATGGATGCCCCCCAGTGCATCTTCAGAGCACCTTCATGAAAAAGAACTCTAAACGTTAAACCCTAAACCCGACCATGCACAACAGCAAGCGTCTAAAGGATGATAGGTTGCCTCAAAGTGGGGGTCCCAACACAGACCTCGACAGAAGAGGCCTCCATTTGGGTAGTTGTCAGAAATATGGATCCCTCTTTAGGTCCTTAGTATAATACGGCACCTAGTCTTTAGGGGACCCAAAATTCAAGAAGAGAGCATAATTTTTGAGAATTTGATGACCTTCAAATTGGGATCTTTTTCTAGATTCCCCAGTAACCCCTTAATAAAGAGGGTGCCCTTTTTCCTACTATTCAGCTCTAATAAGCCGACCCCCAGGTAAAAAGGGGAAAAAGGGCACTGCTGGGGTACCTATTATTCCTATGCAGCTCCTATATAATCCCTATGACCCCTGTAGTTTCCATTTTCTTTTCCATTATCCCCAGTATAACGCAATATAACCTTACCCTAAACCCTAAGCCCTAAACCCTCAACCCCCCAATGCTGACATTGACCCGACCTCAGTCCCGCAAGCCTTGTCTTCCGTGACCTCTGAAGCCAAAATGGCTGAGCCGACGGGATGCACCATGAAAGGGGTTTAGGGCTTAGGCATTGGGATCTGATTCTGGAATATTTTGGGATAATGGAAAATAAAATGGAAACTACTATGATATTGGGGTAGTATAGGGGTTATATTGGGATAATGGAAAATAAAATGGAAACTAGACTATAATTGGGTATATAATGGGATTGTTTAGGGATAATGAAAAAGAAAATGGAAGCTACTTTTTAGGGTTTAGGGCTTAGGGTTTAGGGCTTTGGGTTCAGGGTTTAAGGATAGGGTTTAGGGTTTAAGGATAGGGTTTAAGGTTTATGGTTTATGGGGTATGTTAGAAGATGCGTCCCAGGATAAGCATGGCGATGATTCGAAAAATAGCAAGGCTGGAAAGGTGTTGCTAACCACCAGCCACAACATTCGTAATTGTAATGTAGTTGTTGGGTCATTCCCCCTTACAGTAACAGTCTATACTAGGGGTCACATTGAGGCCTATATATATATATATGTATTTTTTCACATAGTCAACAGTCACTACCTAACTCTTACTGGAAGGGGGGACGACCCAACTAAGTGTCCTTTCCCTGCCATCTGATGCATTCCTTGGCTGCAGCTTTTCGAGAGTGCAGACCTGTTTCTGCTCCACACACTGCCTCCGCACGCTGGCAAACGACGGCCCTAAACCCTAAACTCCCTAACGGGCTTGGAGTGCAGAATTTGCCCCACACGAGCGGGTATTTCTCAAAATCATCACTATAGAATCCCAAACTTGTATACCTCTTGGCTCCCGGGAGGCTCGCTACTTTGAGAACCTCCCATCCTAACATCCTGAGAAATACCCAATTGTGGTTCCAAAAATTCACATGAGAAGGCTCTTGCAACCCATGCTGTCGCAGACAGGCAAACTTGTGTCCATTTCGCATTTAATCCCAAGCCCCAGACCCAAATGGCACAGACAATAGGCGGTCTTGTCACTTTGGTTTGCTAAAGTAGGAATGGAACCTGGGATCCGCAATGAACCCAGCACAAAAAAGAGGCCTCTTTTCAAGATGACAGAATGGGTTTTAGGGCTTAGGGTGTTTTAGGGGGCGTACGTTTTAGAACCTCCAAAAATGGGAAAAGTGGAGTACTGCACAGCCCAGGAACAGGTAGGTGAGCTGATCCAGCAGGCACTGCTTAACGGCCTCATTCACTACGTCATAGCCTGTGGTTCGTAGGATCAAGTCACGGATCATGCGTTGATCGGCCTCAGGGTTTCCGGCTTAGGGTTTTGGGTTCCTAAACCTGAAAATAGAAACTCAATAGAAGACAACCCTTCCATGGCACCTCTAATGATCCTGTTTGTCAGTGTCACAACAGTTATACTGACTTCTACAACTACTGCTGCTATTTTTGCCACACTTACGGTCGTCATTCTCAGCAGTATTATGATACGCAGCATTGCAAAAAATCCGGTTATTGTAAAGACTACCATGCGCGTCAGTTGCCATCCTAAAGACTAAGCCCTAAACCAGTAGCTGTATATCCTAAACCCTAAACCCTACCTATGACCCTTGAAAGGGCCCTTAGGTGGTTGAGGAACCCATGCTTTGATCGACCTCGCTGGAAGCTCTCGCGGATCGGACGTCCAGAGCTCCAAATTCATCACGCAGTCCACGAAGGCCCCCGGCCTAAAGAGCTTCAGGGTTTAGAGTTTCAGGTGTTAAGGTTTACTAGGGTTTATAGGGTTTTGGGGCAGGGTTTAGGTGATAGCAGAGTGGCATTAGACATGTTCCAGGGGATATATCGGATAATGTGCAGCGTGCCCTCAGATTATTGATGATTGGTACAAGAACGCATATGGAGGCCTCCATCCTCTGCCGGAACACATCTTCTGCACGTTCCTGGACCGCATTAAGGCCATAAGGGTGTTTCTCAAAATAAGAGGGCCCATGGGACCCCAAGGGGAATATCATAGGGATTTTCTAGGGGTCAGGGGTCCTAATTATGGATTCTATAAGGACTAAAGCCCTAGGCCCTAAACCCTAAACCGCCTAACTGTTGCTTTACATGGGCATGTTGCCTTTCCGAAAAAGAATGAAAGCCTGTTCCCAACCATGATCCAGGCTCGGGGAGAATGATCGTCATTGGGAACTTGTTGAAAAAGCAGACATAAGTTTCAAATATACACCAAGCCTGTTCTGGGCTCAGGGCTTTTGATTGCTGGGTTGCTGTAAAGGAACTTAATTCAAGTTACCATAATGGGCATATATAGTAAATAATAGGGTTTCCCCAATATAGTAACTTAATTTAAATTCCTTAACAGCAACCCAGATTGAGGATTTAGGGTTGGGATGATACGAAGCAAAAGGTTAAACCAACACAAACCCGAAACCTTCAAATCGCGAACTTCTAGACAGTCCGAACCCCTAAGCACCCTAACTCCTGAACGTGCAGCATTTTTTTTGGCAGCAAACAAAGACTAAAGCCCCTTGGAAACATGTTAGAAACCATACTTATTATGCTAACATGCAATAGACAAACTACAAAATCTTCCTGGGGAAGATCCGACGAGAAACCCTGGTAACATACGCTGGCGATTCAAAACTGTCCAGCATGATGAGCATCCTCCCGGCTTTGGACAGATGACTCTCGAAAATGGTCTTGAGCTCGTCCGACCCCGTCTGCCTAGGCTGGCTGAACCCTTAACTCTAAACCTTAAACCCTAGGTCCTAAGTCCCAAGCCCTAAAGCCTAAGCCCAGAACGGAGAAATCTGAAAATTTCCCAAGGTCCTACCCAGCTTCGTAGCCGACTCCAGTATCCGATATTGGTTGTTACAAAAAAAGCAAATCCTTAGTTGTCGGGTTCATAGAGGGATGTTAGAGTGTCGGGCTTAGGCTTCAGGATTTAGGGTTCAGGGATTAGGCTTTGGAGTGTAGGGTTCAGGGCTTGGAGTTTGGGGTTATACAGGGGACTATCATGCAAACTGTCTCGCAGACTGGAATGGAATGAAAATGAAGAATCAAATGAGTTACGTATAGTCTAAACTCTTTAGAGGGGTTATATAGGGGATCATGTAGGGATCCGACTACAGGGGTTATTAAGGGGGATACTGGGAGTTTAGACGCTGCGTGTTGTATTTGGTAGTTGTCCGAAATACCCGTCCCCAAAACGATCATGATCATAAGGTAGGTTCTCGGTTAATTGCACGCCCCCTTGAAGGGACGGTTTTCCACATGGTCCCTCCCCAAAAAGGACCTTTATCACAAGCCACACAGGAACTTCGAGGAATTCAAGTCTTGAGGGGGCTGCTTGCATGCATACAAAAGCATATGTGTTTTCTAACTGTGGAAGTTTACCTTTTCAACTGCTATAGACTCACGGTGAACCCGATATAGGCGTTCGCAAATGAATGGTCCCCTAGGGACCGCACAAAAAAAGGAATTATAACCTCTGCTAGGAGTCTGTATTAAGGATGATAAAAGGATCCTATTTAGGGTCAACCCCCCCCCCAGTAATGGGTACCACAAGGGACTATTGTAGGTATATTGAAGCCTAAACCCTAAACCTTAAACCCTAAAACCTAAAATCCCAGGGTCCAAATGAAGACATCGCCAGCCACAAGGCCCTGCTTCTTGGCCCAGGTTCCGATTGCACTCACAAAGTCCTTCGACCAGGGTTTGGTGCGAGTAGGGTCCAGGGTTTAGGGATTAGGTTTAGGGTTTAGAGTTTAGGGTTCAGGGTTTAGGGTTATAGGGATTAGGGTTTAGGGTTATAGGGATTAAGCTTTAGGGTTTAGGGCTTAGGGTTTAGGGTTTAGGGATTAGGGTTTAGGGCTTAGGGTTCAGGGTACAGGGCGTAGGCTTTAGGGTTTAGGGTTTAGAGTTATAAGGCTTAGGCTTTAGGGTCTAGGGTTTAGAGTTATAAGGCTTAGGCTTTAGGGTTTAGGGTTTAGAGTTGTAGGGCTTGGGCTTTAGGATTTAGGGTTTAGAAGTATAGGGCTTGGGCTTTAGGGTTTAGGGTTTCGAGTGATAGGGCTTAGGCTTTAGGGGTTTAGGCCTTCGACCTATTCAGTCGAAGAAATCTAAACCCTACACCCGGAACCCTAAATCCTGAATCCTAAACCCCATTATGAGGGGGTAGACTCGACTCCCATAAGCCTTCTAGACCACCCCTACGTGGTAGGGATGGGAGTCTGTTTGGGAGTACTATGGAAACTACCCACCTGGTAACTTCACAAGTGCAATGGTTTAGGGTTTAGGGTTTAGGGTTAAAGGTTTAGGGTTTAGGGTTTAGGGTTTAAGGTTTAGGTCTGGGGTTGGGGCTGAATAGTTGGGGCTGAGTAATGTTTTCTTGAAGCAAAACCAAGTGAGAGCCCATTCCCTTTGCGGTTACAAAGGGATGACATAGGGATCCTAAGGAGGAAAGAATCTTACTCCGTACTGGGGACCCTATAACCCCGATTTTCACGACTTTACTTTGGGTACTGCCCCCCCTCACTAACAGCTGGATCATAAAAATAATATGGTTATATATAGCCCTTAATAGGACCCCCAATATAGACAGTTACTGGGGGGGGCAGTACCCAAGGGATACTTCAGGGCGTTGTTGGTAATTCCAGGGCCTGGGAAGCTCTAGGCACGCCACAGGGATTCCCGGAAGCAACTGCAAGAAATTATAAGCTTTAGAATTTCACCCCCCAAACCCCTAAACCCTAAACCCCTAAACCCTAAGCCCTAAACCCCTAAAAACTAAGCCCTAAACCCTCAACCCCCACTCAGTCTTTCAACTTGTAGGCCCAGCACCACGACAAGAAGTGAGTGACTTGACCCCTGTGACGCGGCTCGACGGCGTCCACGATGCTGCATCCAGGCTTACCATCCCGCGGGCAGGTTTTTCCATATCCCAGGCCTCATAGGGTTTAGGGTTTAGGGTTCAGGGTGTACTGAAAACCCTTCCCATTCCGTCTCAGAGCCCTGATGATTACCCTGGATTCCCATAGCTACCCCTGTAAGTACAACGCAACATTCGAATCATGCCGGCGCAGCCATAGGCAACTACTGTGCAACTAGCTGTGACACCAAATATCTCTGGCTTCGTCCAGTGATACGCTTTGAACTGAGCAAAATGCATTAATTTCCAATTCCCCAAATAAGGTCATTTTAGTACCATTTCCTGAATAAACCGCCATTTGGGACGCGGTCAGCTGAGGTCACTATAATTCCCCAACACTAAAACCTCAGCGTCCATTTCATTTTCATTCTCCACTATAATCCCTACGATACCCCCTATATACGCCCATATGATTCCTTTACACCCCCCTGTAGCTTCGCCAGTTTGAAGCTACACGGTAACTTCAGTAGGCCTGCAGGACTTTGGGGTTGGGATGGCCTCAGCTCTAAACCTTAAACCCTAAACCCTACACCCTAAACCCTTGTGAGCTCCCTGAGTTGCAGGCCAGTGGGTCCAGCAGCAAGCACGGCCGACATCTCATAGAAATTCGGATTGTCGAGTTTTGTAGTCACCTGGGAGGGTTTAGGATTTAGGGTTTAGAGGGGAGCTTCTCCAGCCAGGAACTCAAGGGATACATAGGGATTTGAAGGGGATTCATCCCTTGCCCCTAATATTAAATACTCCCATGGTGGCCATGGTGGTACAATTGCAATATATAGGGGGGTGGGTATTGAATATTAGAGGGGGTGGGGGTATTCAATACTAGGGGGAGGGGTTTTTAGGGGCCCTTATTACAGATTACACAGGGAGTCTAATGAGAATCTCCTGCCTGGGCCAGTTCTGGAAAGACGGTCAGGAGGTAGTTGGCACAAATGCCCAAGACTGGCTTCTCATGCTCAGGCTCGGTCTCAGTTTGGTCTTGAAACGGCAGAGAGACAGGGAAGAAGTACTTGGCAAACTCCTCAAAGGATATCCTGTCATCCCTGTCTCCATCAAGGCTTCTATAGACAGCCTCCGCGGTGTCTGGAGGCAAGTTCCTGAGATAGGGCGCAAGCTCCGAGCGTGTAATGAAACCGCTGTGATCAGTATCGATGGCGTCGAAGGCGCGTCGTGCTGCGCAGGGTGGTGGTCGGGGCGGCGGCGCCTGCGGCGCCGGTGGCGCTGGCGCTGTGGATGCCGCAGAGGACGCTGGCACCGATCGCTGGTAGAGTTGCTGGCCGTAGGCATGTGGAGCGTCGCGAGAATCCGTAACATGACTGCGCCGTGTGCGCGCATCTCGCTGCTCCTCCTTCAAGCTGTTCCTACGGAGGAGGACCACAAGCAGTACCAAGAGGAGCCCGATCAGAATGCTGCCGATGATCACCAGAACCGTCGTGTTGTCACCCTCTGCAAGGCCTGCAGAAGGGTTTCCCACGGGACTGAAATGGTTGCCTGTATAGTGCCTACTACTTGGGTAATGGCCATTATGGAGAATCAGATTGAAAGCGAAATTGAAAGAGAGCTTTAGGGGATAAAGAATGGTTGTACCTGTATAACTTAACGTAATGGAGAATGACATGGAAAGGAGACTGGAAAATCAAACTACCAAAGTCTATCGGGCTTATATGGGGTTTTTACATGGGCGACTATAGTGGAGAATGAAATTGAAAAGCACATGGAGAATCAAATGGAAACCCAGGCGAAAAAACTGGGGGGGGCTTATAATGGGGTTATTTGTAGCATATATAGTGGTTACGCGAACCTGGTGGAAAACAGAATGGAACAGAACATGTCAAACCACATGAAATTGGACAAGAGCTCCTTCACTCAAAGATGACAAGTGCCCGCTGGAGCCCATGACTCTAAATCCCAAACCCGAAACCCTAAACCCTGAACTGGGTAGTCAGAAAACTGGGTACTACAGTTAACTATGCAAACCCGCTCAGATGGGAGTTTCTCAAGAAGCGGGTCCCTAGGAATGAATTTAGGTACGGTAATTTCCATACATAAGGGGACCCCAATATAGACCCCAAAATACTATCATCCTTACTATGAGGGCCCCAAAAGGGTACCCCTAATTTTGGGAAACCCCGGTATAGGGTTTAGGGTGACCCCTTAGTTTATTGCAGGGTTCATATCACCAGGCCCCCGTCTAACTTGGACCCGAAACCCTACCTCTTATGAGTTTATTGCCAAGAAGCGACGCCACCCAAAGCTTTCACTTGAAATGGCCTGATCCCGGCGGCACCAACAAAGTTTTTGGCAGCTAGGGTTTAGGGTTTAGGGTTTAGGGTTTTAAGTAAGGCTAGGGTTTGGAGGGTTTAGGCTGCCCTCAAAGGCTGGAGCCCAAACTTGCACGGCTGTGAATACATGACCCGAAGGGTCCAGCTACCTACAGAGTATTTGCTGACCCAGGCCAATTCAAGATGTGTACCAATGTATGACATCTTAAGATTTGTTGAGGGTCGTTATATAGATAAGTCTCAAGAAGATTTACCATCTTTCTTCTTCCTTTGTCTGTGCCTGCCTTGGTGGCAAAAAGGGGTGCGGTGAAGATCGCGCTCCACACCCCGCTTCGGGAGTAAATATTTGGTCCACAAAATACGACCATATTGGGCCCACATTGCATACTGTTGAAGGGCAATGGCAATCTCGCCTCAAGGTGATTCCAAAATGAGAGTTGCTATCCTTGCAATCATTATATTATACTTGTGTTTTTAAGTTTATCTCAGCATGGTGATGGTAGGGGTATTTCTAAACATACTGGCCAGAGAATCCTGAAAAGGGACCCGATAATCCCCTTCAAATCCCTAAATATCCCTGGGGTATCCAAGGTATACGCCTGATGTAGGAAACTTCCATATGACCTAACCCCTGCTTCAAGTAACTCCCATATTTGAACCCTAAACCCCAAATCCTAAACCCGTTGTGGGGTTAGTGTCCAGAGGCATGGGATGAGATTGTTGTGAATTTTTTCTGCAAGGAACCTCAACCTAAACCCTAAACACGCAGGGTTAGGGTTTGAGGGTCCTTTGTCCTTCCAGCATTGCTGATGGTACATGAGTATGCCAGCAACTGTAAAGGTGTCCGTATTTGGGTCCAAAGTGAGGGTTTGAAACAATTAGGGGTCACCCTTTGGAGGGCCAGCCTGAACCCTGAACCCTCAACCCTAAACCCTGAACCCTAAACCACATCCGTCTCTGGGCGGCGGAGGTGAAGACTCCAAGGTTTGGGGAGGGCCGGCTAGGGTCTTCTTGTTAATATTAGCATCCCAAAAGGCTAAAGGAGCACTAATTAACAGGGTTCAGTGTTTAGGGCTGTAGGGCTTAGGATTTTTGGCCCAGATCTTATAGTTGGGTTACAAGAATAGAGTGTACATCGCACCAATTTTATGGCTACCTTTCTGGTTATGCTTAGAATTCCAGCTATGGTGCATGATTTTGCCCAATGAATTTGAAATGGGATTCAGGATCGTGTAAGTGTATTCACACATGCAACGTGTCTGGCAAATGGGATCTCATGCCGCTGAATGCACACACAAACATCATCGCAGTGTGGCTCCGCAAAAATCATATAGTCTCCCCAAACAGGGGACCAGAATATAGCTCCCAAAATACTATAACCCTTATTGTGGGACTCTCCAAAATGGTACCCTAGCCCCCCAGACATGCAACAAACTGGTAGTCACAGCTAGAGAACGGAAGGGCCAGCTCTCGAAATGATAGGCAGACGTAAAGATGAAACAGACAATGGAAGCTACAATAATAATAGTAGTAACAATGATAATACTAACAGAAATAATGACGATAATGAAATTATTGACAACAGTACTAACAATAACAAGCACAGTAATAGCAGTAATGATCACAAAAAATGACAGTAACGAGAAGAATATCAAATGACAACAACGACAAAATATGAATGGGAAAAATCGGAAAACAATCACAATCCATTATGGCAGCATATCCCTTCTGTACTTATGGGTCTGTACCTAGTGTACCCACTTTACACAGACTGCACTTAGTGTTCATAACCTTGTCCCTGGATATTTCTGGGTACGCTATAAGAATTTCACATCCCGAAATTAAGCCATTTTGGGACTATCTTCTATATAGACCACCATTTGGGTGAGGTCGGGTGAGGTCACGATAATTTACGTAGATAATTAGACCCTCACAATTTTCAGGAAGTCCCTTGTGATAACCGATTTAGGAGTTTCCACAAAATTGACCCCACTACACTAGAATTACTAAGGACCACCAAGAAGGGACCCCCGCTTTTTGGAAGCTCCCAGAGAACATATCCCTATAATCTTCCCATAATTTGGGTTGCCGTTAAGGAACTTCAGTCAAGTTATCATATTATGCGCCTATGGTAAATAGTAGGGTTTCCTCATCATAGTAACTTAAATTAAGTTCCTTCAGGAGCAACCCAATAATGGTCCCCATATGTCCCCGTGATGCCAGGCCTCTGCATCCTCACGACGTAAGCCCAACCGAAGGCTCGATGCACTGCCAAAGGACGCCATGTGGCTCACGACTGGGAAAACTTATTACCCTAAACCTTAAACCCTAAACCCTAGACCCTAAATCACATCCTGAAAAGGCAACTTTGGTACCATTTCCTATATAAACCAGAATCTGGGATGAGGTCCTCAGAGGTCACTAAGTTTTTCCCAGTAGAGTCCATCTATAACCCGAAAACCCTTATGTAACCCCTGGGTTTAGGGTTTGGGGTTTACGGTTCCTTTTGCATTCTGCATTTTCCATTTTCTTGTCCATTTGATTCTCCACTATAGACGGGTTTAGGGTTTAGGGTTTAGACCCCACTACTAAAACCTAAACCCTAAACACTCCCCAATACCAGTCATTTTGCCCAGTCACAAGCCACCTTGAGGCTTCAAACTTGAAAACAGCTGGGCCAGAATTTGTTCAAGCTTCGCCCCTCAAGAAGCGCAAGGGTGTGTATAGTGATTCTATACGGTTTAGTGTTTGAGGTTTAGGATTTAGGGGCTAGGGTCTATAGCAGCTATAGGGGCGCTTATGTAAGGATTCCTTTCAGGATGCTTTTTGTGATCCTTGTAAGAAACACCTTCATGAAGAATCAAACAAATCTGAAATCCGGCACGGCTTGGCCAGGTCTCAAGACATGGGACCGGAACTCTCTTCAACAATTAAGTTGCTGAGCAACAGCACCCGAAAAATCTGACAGCCACAATTGAGATGCATCCCCACAACCAATTACCTTCTTCATGCCTCCAGCTCGCTGTGTAACCCGGTGCTATTCCGTGAAGGTGAGGAAAGAAGTTTAACTGTTATGAAGCCGGGCATGTATATGTACAGAATGCATTCGACTTACAATCCCGGCAAGGGGTCGAGCTTTACGCTCTGCCTGTGTCCATAGCTGCATCCCCGAGTGTTCCAGGGGTCTGCCCTTGGTAATACTCTAAGGGATTTGGAACCCCAGTAGAAATTAAAATTTCAGCTAAATATTAGGATTCTTAGTAACCGAAATTAAAAATGATTTTCAGGAACCTTGTAGAATAGAGAGTGATGTTCAGTGCGAATCCCAAGTCAATCGCCGCATGACCGCTGCCCCCAGCCTCGCTACCTAAGGGCTCCTAGGTAGCTCCTTTTGGGTCTGTTATGATTTTCTGGTGAAGGACTATAACATACTACCCAAAAAGGAACTACATGGGAGGGTCTGGGTAAGCATGCAGGTATCAAGCACGCCTTTTCCGTGTCCAAGGCATATTCGAGAAGGCTGTGCCGTAGGTAGGCAGGGGCCCTTGCATATAAATCACCGCAGGATCGAAACAAGCTGGCACAAGTTCTGGGAAGTCGCGGTCTTAGGATGAAGAACTGGACGTTAATCAAACTTTAGTGTTTAGGGTGTAGGGTTTAGGCAAATCCCTAAACCCCAATCAATCCGCCGACCTTGGGGGGCGTGTTGGATGGTTGCCGAAGGCGGAGAGGGTGAAAACCCTCTTCTTTTCTCCCTACCAGGGGGGTGGGGGGGGGGGTAGGCCCACCTCCGAAACAGCCGTTTCAGCCGACACCCACGCCTTCGCCAGGCTCTCACCAGGAGGTTTGCCCCCCCATCGTAATTTTGGTGGGCCGGGCCCCAAGCCCTGGAGGCCCGGGCCCCAAGCCCCCTGGAGACCTGGCCCACAGGCGCCTGGGGGCTGGATCCCGCCACTCTCCTTGTTGCGTCTCAAACCCATGGGTCCGGGTCTCAAAACGCTCCCATAACCCCCAATCCGCTGACCTTGGGGGGGTTGGATGGTTTCCGAAGG